AAGATTGGAATGCCCTTTAGATTTATTTACATTTTACAGTTATATACATTTTAAATATTTTATATTTAATGACAAGCCACTTGTTGATGATGAAGCCAAAGAATTGGCGTTTATAAGGGGATCTCAACTACAATTAGTACTTCAGTTAAGTCAGTTAACTAAGTTTTAGCTTGAACTTCAAGTCTGACTGCTTTTTCAAAACTATTTGTCTAAAGAATTTGCTTTTTAAAGTAAATCTTAACTGCAACTTTTACCTAACTTTGACTTAAGATGCAACTAATTTTTTCAAAAAAATTCAATATGAACTTTAACTTTAACTACAACTACTTTAGGGTAAATCACATAGATTTAAGCCAGGGGGGCACAAGCCATGCTGTCCAAGGACTGCCCGACAAGCAGGACAAGCTCCTGGCTCGAATTAGAAGGCCCCTTTTGTGAGTGTATGAAGGGAAAGAGTTTTCGGCTGGGGTCCTGGCCACTTCGTTCCACTTCTGGCCACTCCACTCCCGGCTGCAGGATGCTTATGGGTTTTTATGTGCCTTGTTTGGGGTGATGGCGATGCTGGAGCTGGAGCTCCTTCGACTTGGGCTGCCGCATCCTTGAGCATTGAGCCAGCATATTGAAGTAGGCGTGTGTCCGAGTCTGTCCATAATGTCCTTGTCTCCCGACTCCGTCTTCTGCCAATAAAAAAGGGCCAAAAGGCCCACACTCACACATTCGGATTCGGATTCGGATTCAGATTGCGCCTGCTTACGGCTGGCACACAGTTATAAAGCATATATCTGCTCCTCGGTCTGCTCGCCTGATTTAAATATCTCCTCGGAGTCGCAGACGGCATTGGTGTCCGTTTTTTGTCCGTATGTCCGTTTGTCCGTTTGTCCGTTGTCCGTTATCCGGAGTTTGTACGGAGTCTGAGGGTTATGCTAAATATTTATGCATGACTGCTTTTCTGTGACATCAAATAAATCACTTTTATAGTTTTTGGGGCCGGAGTTGCTCAATATTCTTTACCAGTTCGTGTGTTCTTGTTTTTTTTTCTATTTTTTCCCATATTCTTTGTAAATTTTTAGTGCGTTCGGTGTCCTGCTGAGGCTGCCAGTGGGGCTATGGCCATATTTATTGAGTTGAACAAATTGCCAGACAAAATTTGCATACATGCACAATCCGATCCCAATTGAAGGGCAAACAATGGCGACACACGTTCGAGACACTTTATTTAACCCTTAAAGACGAAGCTCCTCCGTTCAGCGTCGCCGTCGTATTTTAAACATAGCTGGGATTGATGGCTGCTGGGAGTGTTGGATTTTACCTGCAGCGGGATTCGTTGATTCGCCTGTCCGCCGGGCAAATCGGGAGGCCAAACGCTTGACACTTGACCGAAAACATCAAATCCCCATTAAGCCAAGGGCTACGGGATGAATTGGTAAGGCGGGCGCAGGGGAGGATGGTTTGGTGACCCGGGGAGGGCTGGATTTAAGATGGGCAACGGCTTAAGAGTATCACAGAGCCGTTGAAAATAAGATCTGGAAATAACAGCCACATCAGCCAAATATTACATAGTATTTAAAAACAAGAATTGCTAAAACAATAAAATATGGGTACTTTTTAAAAATGTACACGAAGAAAAATAATTAACTAGTTTAGATTTTGAATATAGCTTATCGACAAAGTTGTACCTAAATGTCTCTAAGAGATGTAAGTGAACGAACTTGAGATAAGTCAAGTTAATTAAACACCTAAATTTTAAAAATAATACAAGCAATACATTTATTTTATATATTAGATTAAGTCTTTTCGTAAATAACTTGTTTTATGATGTTCCCAATATTTCATGAAAAAGCCATCGTCTTCGAGCTTTTTATGCTAAGATATTTATGAAAATAAGTAATACGATCAAACAATTTTTAAAATATAATTGCATTTATTGTTGTCCCGATATGCTATGCACTTATTTCAGTCTAATGCCTAAAGTTTTCCCAGGCTCAATGGGTGGCACACGGGTGAAAATGGCCGGGAAACTGGGAGGAGAGTGGGTTGCAGGTTCTGTTTGATTTTGGGGAAACACCTCGGCTTGCAACATGCCGCAAAACCGGCAAACTGAAAGCTGCAAACTTAACAGCGACGCCGCTGCCGTCGCGGGCAGCGCCGTCGACGCCGGCAGAGGCAGCGACCAAGGCAGAGCAAGCTTTCCCACCAAACAGACGGCGCTCTCTTCTGCACTTTCCGTGCGCTCTCTCGCTCTCCGCCTCTCTGGAAAAGCTCCATTTTTCTGGATGCTGTTGCTGCACATTCGCTTCCGGTTGTTGCAGCAAATGCTGCTGATGTTGCTGCTGCAACTTATGCTGCTGCTGCTGCTGCTGCTGTTGTGCTGCTGCTATGCACTCGGAAAAAATTGTATTGAAAAAGAAATTTTAGAACATTTTTCTGTATTTTATTTAAACTAATTATAGGTGGTATATATTACACAAAATTAATTCAAAATTAAATGATAAATAGAAAAATCAAATAGTAAAAGTAAATAAATAAAAATATTTAAAATACAACATATCGAAATCGTGACCAATATTTTACGTGGTAAGAACGATTTTATAGATTTGTTTTTTTTAGCTTCAAAAACGTAACTTTTTTATTTCCTCAAGCTGGAATTGCAGTGGTCATGTTTTTTGTCAGTGCATCTTCTGCTTCTTCTACTGCTGCTATTTCTTCCTCTTCTGTTGCTGCTGCAGGTTGAGAATGTTGTAACTTTGCAGCTTATCCTGGAAATTACGTAAGCAGCGCAGCGAGCGGAGTTTGCAGAGGGGCTCAAAGTGCTGGGGCAGGGGGACAGAGAGCCAAAGGGGGGTCAAAGGACACGAGTGCTGGAGAGAGAGCGAGCGAGAGCGCAGGGGGATTGCAATACTAGGACTACTGCAATGCTGTCGCAATGAATAAGGCGGCAAATCAAAACAAAACTAAATGAAAAATAAATCGACGACAGACGAAAGAAGGATGGCAAATGGGGAGGAAGGAGATGGAAGGAACAGGTCAGGACGAGAGGGAGAGAGAGACAGACAGAGGGGCGGAAAAGGGTTTGCGATAGAGAGGCGCTATTTGGGGGGTTTCCCAGGGAATGCAATGAAGCAGCACAAACACAGAAATTAGGGGACGACGACGACATCGTTGCACCTTTTTGGCTAATGTCACCAGGGGCACCAGCAGCAGAAGAAGAATTGGTGGCCGAAGAAGAGGAAGAATGTCCAGGGAATACCCAGCCATATGCTTTCCACACTTTTCCACACATAATTAAAATAATTGGCATTAAGAGTGTTCCTAAAAACAAATAAATATTTAAATATTTTTCAAAGATATGCAGAATAAAAAATTATGAAGTATAAGAATTAATGAATTAAAAATCTATTAAAAAACACGGCGTATGAGTAACCATAGAACATTACGTATGAGTAATATTATTATTATTATTATAACAACCTGGCGTATAACTAATTTATTTTTAAATTCAGAAAAGAACATATAGCTTTTATATGCAGAGTAAAAAATTATCAAGTAAGAAATTTAATGAATTAAAAATCTATTAAAAAGCACGGCGTATGAGTAACCGTGTAATATTACGTATGAGTAATATTATTATTATTATAAAACTAATATAACAACCTGGCGTATGAGTAATTTTTTTTTAAATTTAGAAAATAACATATAGCTTGTATATGCATAGTAAAAAATTATCAAGTAAAAAATTTAATGAATTAAAAATCTATTAAAAAACGGGGCGTATGAGTAACCATGGAATATTACGTATAATATTATTATTATTATAAAAAATAATATAGCAACCTGGCGTATGACTAATTTTTTTGTAAATTTAGAAAAGAACATATAGATTGGATTTTATATAAAGTTAGAGCAAACAAAGAAGTACGAAATCAAAGGATCAAGAAGGAATCAGATATCATGTACGTATGAGTAATATCTTAGTAGGACGTAACTTCTATAGATGGTTAAATAAGCTAAAATGATCCTTCGCGGGAACCCAATATGCATTTGCTATCCTGTAAAAAGCTAAAGAAGAGCAAGACGATGACGATGCTGGCGGTTAAAACTTGGCTTCGCCTCCCAAGGGTTTTCCCAAAAAAGGGGCGGCTGAAAAGGGGGCGGGGTGAAATGCTACAAACACACACACATACATACCACTGTCTTTTTGGCAATGGCCACGTGCACTTCATGAGTGTTTGCATGCGTCCTTGTGCATTTGTGTGTGTGTCTATCTGTGTGTGTGTGCCTGTGTGTGTTTGGGGCCAGGTTGCGAGCGTTAATATGCCACAAGCTCACACACACACGGACACAGAGTGCCAGCCAAAAGGATAATGACACTTGGCGCGCATTTACCGTTAGTTGGCAACTAACCTATGGCTGGCTGTATGTGTGTGTGTGTGTGTGTGCGAGGAAGTTGGAGTTGTCATTGCGATGCGATAACCCTGATAAGATCCTTCGGTCCATAGACAAATGTTCAAGGAATGCTCCTTTTTGTTTTTGCCTCTTGATAATTGTCGGCGAAAACTTGAAATGGCTGGCAAAATTAGTTTCAAAAACATTCACAGATAAATGGCTATAACAATTATTCGTGCTTGGCTTTTTACATTTAAAATTAAGAGATCATTTTTATTATCTGAAATAATAATACAAAAATGTTAATAATAATAACATAATGGGTTCGTTCAGACCAAAGAGACTTGTTCGGCAGTTGAAAGTAGTTGCAAAAACCAAATAGTTAAAACATGCTCCTATTTGCTTGCAAACAATATATATTTAGCTTTTATGAAATATATTTCAGAAGAAATAATTAATTTGTAAGTATCATGAAATATAAAACATATAAAAATAGTCTATTATTATTAAAAATAATACCTTATTATTTTAAAAAGTAATTTGGAAGGAAATAACAATTTAAACTTTAAAATAAATAATGACCATTAATTTTCCAATAACAATAAGAAATTTATTAAAAAAATTTTATTAGTTACACTTTATGCTTAATTCTATTAGGTTACTATTTACAGATTTTATTATTGGTTTTGCTTTTCCTGAATTCATCTTTAGAGCCTTCTGAGTACATCTTTTCTTTTTCTTTTCATTCTTTTCATCACATTCACTTTTTGCTTAATTCTATGAGGGTACTATTTACAAGTTTTATTAATGGTGTTTCTTTCCTTCCAACGGGGCACACCGCTCCATCTTCACTAGGTTCACTTTATGCTTAATTCTATGGGGTTGCTATTTACAGAATTTATTATTTGTTTTGCTTTCTACGAATTTTCCTTTAGAGCTTACCTATGGTAGATCATCCGAGTACATCGTGTTAGGTTCACTTTATGCTTAATCCTAAGGGGTTACTATTTACAGAATTTATTATAGACTTTGCTTTCCTTCGATTTTACTTTAGAGCTTTCTATTGTGGTTCCTTTGGTTACCTCATATTTCATTGCTATGTCTGACTCCTGTATCAGTGTTCAGGGAAGTGATACTCTGCTACTCTGCTGGTGGCCATGCTTCTTAGATCTTACCGGGATTCGAACCCGGACCGGTGGCGCTACGACTTCTATCTGAGGAGTCACTTCTACTCACTCAGCTACCACCGGCGGCGAGGTGACAGCGTCTGGGGGCTCAGTTAAACCCGACCTACTGGGTTTTCTCGGAAAGGTTCCTCTGTTGTGATTCCCAAGTCCGTTTACCGACTACGAAAGTCGATTGTTAGCAGGGCGCCTGTTATCGATATGGGTTCAGTGTAGGGCAAGTCGGTTAACCCCTATAATCGATATTTCTTTGTTTAAAAAAGCCTTTGAAGAATATTAAAGACCTTTAACTACCAACTCCAATTAATCACCAGCAGTCTTTATATTTCCGTATTATTAAACATACATCAGAGTCGCAGGCGCTTTCCACTGTCAAACCAAAAAGGAAGCGATTTTAAGGACGGTAAAATGTGAACTTTTGATTTAGAATTAGTTTTCATGAAAACACGAAAGAGCATGAGATTTGACCACTAATTGAGTGCATAAATGCATCTCCTGTAATTTGTATAAAAAGGCAATGGCCTTTTTTTATACTCACACTTTTATTGTGCGTGTGTTTTTTGGGGGATTATTTATGTACAAAATTTGTTTGCATACAAAGTATACAAAAAAGAGGATTTACTTTACATACAACAAAATAATAATAAAATGTAGACATAATTTGATAAAAACCAAAACGCTTTCGGTGAATGTAAGCCTTTCGTGGTACATTATTTTAGAAGGTGGACAAAATATGAAAGCTTTAATCCAGAATACATCATGGATGCGAAAAATAAATTCCTTTATTAGTTGGAAAAACGGACAAACCATCTGTTAGTGGCACTACTTCAGGAGTTGAAAGAATCTTAATAATCGCTTAACATATAAAATTAACAAACAAATATTATTTTGTTTTGGACAGGAAAATTGATTTCCACAAATGAAAAAAGAAAATTCAAATTGGTGAAATTGTACAACCTTTTTCTGCATGGTATAAAAACGTTTTTCAACACTGTACATTGCCAGCTTGATTTTGTGTAGTTAAAATGTCACCTTATGTAGAACATTTTGATGTGTGTTTAACAAGGTGATAAGATAGCCTAGTGGAAGTTCGCCTAATTTTTTGTTCTGGAAGGAGTAAGTTCGAGTCCTGGCATGGTCTACTTTTTTTTTTTTCTTTTCAATAAATGCTAGCAATATTGATATTTTGTTGTGTTTATCTCACTTGGTGCCATCCTATTCAATTAATTTGCGAAGCGTGATTTCGGCTTTAACGACTATCACTATTATCCGAAACGCAATCTTGGCGAAAGTTTGATTGTCTTTTGCCGGGTGGCAAGTGGATGGCAATACAGGTCCCTATACCTTATATACATACCTTTGCTGGCCGTGTTATCTTGTTAATTGTGCTTGGCTCCGATTGCAATTTTGAAGTGGGTCTTCGCTGAAGTTTTCGCACCTCGAGGTGGTGTGCCCGGGAATCGGGGCTTTAAGGAATACGAGGAAGTGAAGTTTGAAGTTCTCCAGAGAAAGAGAATCTATCCCATTTTAGCACCCCCTCCCCTCCTTTTTGACTCCCAAAGAAGTGGCAACCAAGTTGGGCCACCTTTGCAGTTTGCCGTCGACTTAATTAGTTTGTTATCCCGCCGCCCCCTTTTCCGCCATCCATGTGGTTGTGTTTCTACGTCTATGTCTCGTCTAGTCCTTGGTCCTGGTTCCTAGGTCCTGGGTCCCGGGTCCTTGGTCCTTGGTCCCCTCCCCTCTCTATTGCTCCTCAGCGGAAGTGGTTTGACAATGGAACTTAATGAGTATAAGCGGAAATTTAATCAGCAGTATAAATAATGAAATGACAGCTGAATGGCTCGGCAACGTTTCCCCCTTCTCCTCCGCTTTTCCCCCGCTTTTCCACCGCCTTTCCATCGCTTTTCCGCCCCTCTCCCTCCCCGTTTTGGGTTTCATTTTACGCTAAATGAATCAAAACTCATTTGCTTCGCTTGTTGAGTGTGAATTGTTTGTTTGCCGCTTCACGTTGTTTGTCAGTTGTTGGTCAATCCGGATCGGGAATTAGTTACGTGTTCATCTATACACATACATGTCCATTGTACATGCCATAGATTTCGATGCGAAAGTTTGATAGACAGCGGAAAAACGGGGAAAATCGCGAAGCTCGCATTACAGTTTTAATTTAAAAATCTTTTGAAAATGATTGGAACCTATTGGAGGAACATGTATGTTTCTGTGCCCTAAAGCAGGACTAAAAATTATAATATTCTGCAGCACAATATGGTATTGCCTCTCATTTTTAGTGATAAATAAATAATTGAGAAGAAACGCAGAGATACAGTTATATTTTACATTTATTATGCAAATAATTAAGACCTATAAGGGGGACAGTTAATTTTGTTTGCCTCTTAAACAGATTTTAAAAATGCAATATTCCACTGCACAAATAAAAAAGTCTGCTGTATAAAGTTGTGATTTTCTTACTGTGCCTCCTTTCAAACAACAAACGACTCATTTTGGAAAATTGTTTAATTAACAGGTAACTATATTAAAATAAGTAAAATATTTTGAACTATTTTTTTTATAAATGGTTTATTATTATTTCATTGCTGTCAAGTGATTTTGTATGTAATGAATTTATAAGTTATATAGTATATAATATATATGGTATTCTGTTGTTATAAACTAAGTATTTGTGTATTGACTAAAAATATTTCGAACAAATTCTAGATTGTTTTGAACATAAACCCATTTTCGTTTCCATTTCCATTTCGAAGACGGAGCAACCCTTTTCGGTCGTTTGGAAATGAAAGAAAAGTCGCCAAGGAAGTGGGGAAAATGTGGGCGAGAAAAAAGGGGGAGTGGCGTATTCGCGTATGTATTGTATGTGTGTGCGACAGAGCATGCAATTTGAATTGAACTTTCCACATGCAAATAAACTTCCAGCCCAATCTCCAAACAGAAAGAGGGTGTAAAGGGGTGGAAAAGGGGCTGGGAAACTGTGAAGAATTTAATTTTCCAATTCATAAACAATTTCTGAAATAAAAGCCAAAACCAAAGTAGCAGTAATAACACTGAAAATAATCCAAGCAAGCAAAAACAATGAAATTCGATTTGTAGTAGAACCAGATGAGGCATAAATACTCTTTAAGTCAAAATGATAAAAGAATAGAAATAAAACATGTTTAATATTCAACATATGTTGCTGGTACATTTATTATGGGTAAAAGAAAAAAAGAACTTATGTATGTTTTAACAAATTAAGTTTTAAGGTTAAGGGTTAAAATTAAACTTGATTTTAAAACTATCTCAAAATAAAATCCAAAACTAGCGAAAAATCAAGCCGCTGATGAAGTCCATAACCGAGTTTTTTCACAAGAGAGTATGGATACTTTATTTTTAGCTCCAATGTGATGGGTGGGCGTGGCAGTCATTGCCGCCTTCCGATGAGCTTTGATTTGAATTTTTTCCTCTTCTGGCGCAGACAAATTTCCACTTCATTGTCGCCCCTGCTGACTTAACCACCTCTTTGGCCCCCGTATAAAGGGTAATTCTTCTCCGTTTTGGGTGTTGCAAGTTTATGTTGCCTCACTTGAGTGAGGGCCTTTCTCCTTTTTTGTCGGTGGGTGTATGTGCTTGCCACATGATGACACTTAGGATCGGCAACGACCGAAAGTTATGCGAATTTTTTCACAAGTTTTATTTGTCTGATTTTCACGTCGTAAACTTTGCAACTTTTCATGTCGCAAAAGAAACTCACTGCCAAAAATCAACCACAAAGCGCAAAAATGTAATTATAGCATAAAAAAAAACAAAAATTAAACGACATTGGTTAGCCAAATGGATTTATTTTGTGTATAAAAAAGTACCTACCCAATGTGGAGTTGAACCTGCTTGGCAATGATTAGTAAGCAAAAGTCTATTCCACTAGGCAAACTTAGAAGTACATAAATGCAAGGTAATATAAGACAACATGGTAAAACTAAAGAGTTTAAAATGTAATCTTTAAATAACAAAGGGTTCCACTTTCATCAGCAGCTTTATATGGTCCCTTTTTAATATTTTTTGCAGAGCCCATCAGAAAAAGGACTTTACTATTTTTTAACTAAGGGTTAAAAGTAAGACTCTTTGAATAGAATATTTGGTAGAATTTTTCAAAGCTTGGTTTCTATAAAAACAATTTTATGTTTAAGAAAACTATTTTTTGTAATTTCTGGAGCACATTAATCCGGAAAATCAAACTGCCACGAAAGGATGCCATGCACTTTGCCCGACCATTTACCACTTGATTCATAGCCTAATGCCCGAAATGGCAATCTCCCATTTTCGAATGTTGCAATTATTAAGTTTATCAACTGCTGCATAACCGATTACCAGCCAGTTAAGTGCGCCCATTGGCCAGTTGTACATCCTGCATTCCTGCATTCCAGAATGGTCATCGCCATCATCATCAGCATGGCAATCGTCATGCTGGGCATCTGTCCTTGCGGCGATAAAAATTGCATGCAATTATGCCCAGTCTTTGGCTCCCCCAAAAATCCACGGGATCCCTTTTGCTTTACAGGAAACCCCAAAAATCCCCCGAAGCACAGGGAAAAAAATTGGTAAATCGAACCAAATCCGAATGGATTTCGCAGCGTCCGTTTGGTAGGTAATCAAACGCTTAATTAATATGACACACCAGCACAGGCTAAGGGCTTCGGGGGGCTGAAAAGGGGATGACCATGGGCGGGGGTGGCAGGATTACGGAGAGGGGTATGAGAACCAAGAGCCAAAGGACATCGCATGTGGCTGATGATTTTTGGTGGCCAGGCATCGTTTTTCGGTTTTTGGCATATTACTGATAACACTCGCGGTCGCTTACCCGAAAAACGTGCGAAAGAGACGGTCAGCGTTTTGTTGGAAAGAGATGGGGCATACGCAGCCAGAAAGAGAGAGCCATAGTTCAGAAAGAGACAGCGATTGAGACGCCGGGCATCGCTTGCGGTAATTGCTTCATAATTGAACAATTATGCAAACGTGATTGAAGTGATTATATGGCCGCTTATGCGCCTCTGTTTATGTGCGCTTTCCCCACTCT